AGTATTAATTTTCTATTGTGTAACAAATTAACACTTAAACTTCGTGGCTTAAAACAACACACATTTATTATCCCACCATTTCTATGGGTAAAGAAGAGTTAGGCACAGATTAGCTGGATTCTGTACTCAGGGTCACAAGACTGCAGTCAAGGTAATGGCCAGGGCTTGCTGCATCTGAGGCTTAACTAGGGAAGGAACCATTTACCACACACACACACAAAAAAAAATTGAAACATCTGGCAAAACTGGAATGAAATCTGAAAGTTCGATGGTAGTAATATAGTATTTCCTGATTTTGATGGTGCTATACTGATTCTGTGCATTTATTATAACTGTTTATTTATTATAACTGATTATGGGAAGTGCTTGCTACACTATTTGAAGGTAATATGTATGACTGGAGTTTGCATTTGCATATAAATTTTAGGGTCAGCTTGATGTACACTAAAATATCCTGAGATTTTGATATTGCACTGAATCCATAAATCAATTTAGGGAGAACTGACATCTTTATTTTTTTTTAAGGATGACCATTCTCAACTTTAAAAAAAATTATTATTTATTCATGAGAGACAGAGAGAGAGAGAGGCAGAGACACAGGCAGAGGGAGAAGCAGGTTCGATGCAGGGAGCCCAATGTGGGACTCGATCCCAGGACTCCAGGATCACACCCTGGGCTGAAGGTGGCGCTAAACTGCTGAGCCACCCGGGCTGCCCTGAACTGACATCTTTAAAATATTAAGTATTCCAAGTGAGTATTCAGTTCATAACTGAATTTACTCAGATCTTCTCTAGTGTCTTCCAGTGTCTTGTAGTTTTTAGTGTACAAAAAGTCTTGGATCTCTTTCACTATATCTATTCCAAAGATTGATTTATGAGGCTATAAATAGTAGTTTCTCTTTTCACTTTTGTTGTTGGTATTTAAAAACAACTTTTTTAAACATAATTCCTTTTATATTATTCTATATATAGGAATCTTGCCAACACACTTACTAGCGGTTTATAGATTTTGGATTTTCTACATACACACTGTCATTTACAAATGAAGTTTATTTCCTCCTCAACAATACTTGTTTATTTTGTTTTTTTCTTACCTTTTACTATGGCTATAACCTTCAGAAGAGTGCTGAATAGAAATCGTAATAGCAGAGACACCTGGGTGGCTCTGCAGTTGAGCATCTGCCTTCTGTCCAGGGTGTGATCCTGGAGTTCTGGGATTGAGTCCCATGTCAGGCTCCCTGCATGGAGCCTGCTTCTCTCTGCCTGTGTCTCTGCTTCTCTGTCTCTCATGAATAAATAAATAAAATATTTTTAAAAAGAAATAGTAATAGCAGACATCCTGATCTTATTCCCAATCTCAAGTATAATGTCTGCTGTAAGTTTTATGTAGATAATACTTATTAGAATAAGGAAGTTCCCTCTTATTAGTTTGGTAAGTTATTATGAATACATATTTTATCAAATGCTTTTTCAGCATCTACTGAAATGACCTTCTTTTTCCCTTTTGATGTGAATTACACTGATTCATTAAACTATCCTTGCATCCTGAAATAAACCCCACTTTCACCATGTATTCTCCTTTGCATGTTTAATTTGCTAAGATGAGGGGCACCTGGGTGGCTCAGTGGTTGAGGATCTGCCTTTGGCTCAGGTCGTGATCCCAGAGTCCTGGGATCAAGTCTGCAGCGGGAGCCTGCTTTTCCCTCTGCCTGTGTCTCTGCCTCTGAGTCTCTCATGAATAAATTTTTAATTTTTGCTAATATTGTATTTAGGTTGAACTTGTATTTTGAAATTCATTAAAGGGTTGGTCTGTAATTCTTTCTTTTAATCTTCAATGTATGTTCAAAGTGATGTCAGCCTGGTTAAAAATTAGGAAATGTTCTCTCATTGTGTAGTCTCTAGAATTTATATAGACTTGATAATATTTGGCAGAATTCAGTGGGAATGCCATTAAGGCCTGGAATTAGTGGGAAGATTTTAAATAACAGATGTGATTACTTTTTAAAGATATATCTCACATATAAAATTCACCCTTTCAAAGTATAAAATTGGCACTTCGTATATTCATTAAATTATGCAATCACCACCACTAAGTCCAGAACAGTTAAATCATCCCAAAAAGAAACTCCGTATCTATTAGCAGCTACTCACCAATCATCTTCCATCCTGCTCCTGGTAACCACCAATTAGTTTTTGTCTCTATGGATTATTTCCTAAGTGGGACCATAAACTATGTGGTCTTTTGTGTTACTTCTCTTAGAATAATATTTTCCAAGATTTATCCATGTTGTTGCATGTATCAGGACTTCATTCCTTTTTATAAATAACATTCCATTGTGTGTGTGTATATACCACACCACATTTTGCTTATCCATTCATCAGTTGACAGACATTTGGGTTGTTTCGATTTGAAGGTTATTATGACTAATGCTGTTGTGAACATTCATGTAGAAGTTTTTGTGTGAGCATATGCTTTCAATTTTCTTGGGTATGAGTGGAATTGCTAAATCATATGGTAACTATGTTTAATTTTTTGAGGAACTGCCAGACTGTTTTACAAAGTGGCTGTACCATTTTACAGTTCCATCAGCAACATATGAGGGTTCCAATTTCCCCACATCCTTGCCAACAACTGCCATTGTCTGTCTTTTCAACTATAGTCATCCTAGTGGTTATGAAATAGTATCTCATCATGGCCTCATCTGGATTTCCCTAATGAGGTTGAGCATCATTTCATGTATTTACTGGCAATTTGTATATCTTCTTTGGAAAGATATCTATTCAAATACTTTGCCTATTTTTACATGGAGTTGTTTTACTGTTGAGTTGCAGAATTGTTTTTTTTAAGATTTTATTTATTTATTCATGAGAGACAAGAGAGGCAGAGACACAGGCAGAGGGAGAAGCAGGCTCCACCCAAGAAGCCTGATGTGGGACCTGATCCCAGGACCCTGGGATCACGCCCTGAGCCTAAGGAAGATGCTCAACTGCTGAGCCACCCAGGGGTTCCCAACATAATTACTTACATACTCTAGATATTAGTCTCTTACAAATATGTTATTTGTTTCTATTGCTCTGTTCTTTCATTCTCATTCTGAGGGTTTTTTCACTTTCTTGTCTTTTGAAACACAACTTTTTAAAATTTTGATAAAGTCGGTTTTTGATTTGGTTGCTTATACTTCACGTATATCTAAGAAAGAACTGCCTCATCTAAGGCCACAAAGACTTAAAACTATGTTTTCTTTCAGCATTTTATAGTTATAGGTCTTACATTTAGGCGATTAATTTTGAGTTAATTTTTGAATACAGTGGAGGGAGGGATTCAAGTTCATTCTCTGGCATGTGGCTATGAGAAGACTATTATTTCTGCTTATCAAATAGATGCAACTACTTTAACAAATACGGAACGCTATTCAGATTTCCCCTTTCCTTCCTCCCCCGCCCTTTTTTTTCAGTAATCTCTACACCCAACAGAGATCAAGAGTCACATGCTTTCCTAACTGAACCAGCCAGGTGCCCCTTTTGATCAAGAGTCACATGCTTTCCTAACTGAACCAGCCATGTGCCCCTAGGTTTTTTTCTTATATTTGTATTTTTTCAGGTCTTTGAACACCTTCTAAAATTTCAAATGCATCAGCATGGAGATATTCATAATACTTTTTTGTGTGTATTTAAAGATTTTACTTATTTATTCATGAAACAGAAAGGCAGAGACTAGCACATAGGCAGAGGGAGAAGCAGGCTCCCTCTGGGCAGCCTGAGGTGGAACTCAATCCCAGGACTCTGGGATCACACCCTGAGCCAAAGGCAGAGACACTCAACCACTGAGCCAACCAGGTGCCCCCATACCTTCTTGAAAGATTTTTAATGAATGCAGAAGCAGTGAGATCTCCATTTCACTTCTGATATTTGTGCCTTCATACTTTTTTCATTGGTCTTGCTGGAGATTTGTCTTCTCAAAGAAGCAACACTTAACTTTGTTAATCCTATTATGTTTGCTTTCTATTCCATAAATTAAGATTTCTTCTTTGTGCTTTAGTTTTTAATAACTTGAGATAAATGCTTCACTCATGGACTTTTAGCTTTATTCTTTTCTAATAAATTATTAAATCCCCTCTAAGCACAGCTTCATCTATCCCTCATGAACTTTGATGTTTTATTTTCATAATAAAATTTTTTCAAACTCCCATTGTGATACCCTCCTTAACTCAAGATTACTTTTTTTTTCTAACTTCCATTGTGATAGCTTCCTTAACTCAAGATTACCCTCGATAGCTGGGTGGCTCAGCGGTTTAGCACCGCCTTCAGCCCAGGGTGTGATCCTGGAGACCCAGGATTGAGCCCCACTTCAGGCTCCCTGCATGGAGCCTGCTTCTCCCTCTGCCTGTCTCTGCCTCTCTCTCCGTCTCTCATAAATAAATGAAATCCTTAAAAAAAAATTACTTTGGAGTATGCTTTGTAGTTTCTAAACATAAGGGTGTTTTTTATCTTTTTTCTCCCCCTAGCTTTTTTAAAGTAAGCTTTATGCCCAAGATAGGGCTAAACTTGGGACCCAGAGGTCATGAGTTGCATGCTCTCCTGAGCCAAGCAGGCACCCCCCTAGTTTATTTATGGTCAGAGAATATACTCTGTATGATTAATAATTTGACAGACTTGCTTTTTTAAGCATGTGGTCAACTTTTCTAAATGTCCAACATGTACATTAAAAAAACATGTATTATGTATTTGTCAAGAGTATAACAGCCTATATACATGGTGGTTGGGTCTATTGTATTTTTTATAACCCTACCATTTTTTGACCACGTAATCTTTTATGATTGTGCATTTCTCTATTTCTCCTTGTTTTCTGATAAATTTAGTAGCTATTGAATTCTATAAATTTATAATTGCTAAACTTTTCTGGTGAATTAGTCCTTTTCTCATTATCAACTGTCTCTCTTACTACTAATTAGTATTTTGCCTGAAATTGTTTGATATTAATATAGCCTTATTATCGTTCATTTACTATTTATATATCTTTCTACATACTTTCCCTTTCACCTTTCTGTATTCTTACATTTTATGTGCGTCTCTTCTATATAACTCAGTTGTATCATTATCCGAAAAGGTTTATTGGAAGATTTTACCCCATTTACACTTACTGCAATTTCTGATCCATTTAGAATTAACTGTGCCACCTCCCCAAATGTTTTCCCTGGGGTTTTTTTTTTTTTCCCTGTCTTGCTTTCTCTTGGGTTGAGCACTTTTTTCCTGTTGTTCCATTTTATACCATTAGTATATGTAATACACTTTCATAAATCTTTTAGTGTAGTTACCCTAAATATTATAACAGGCAAGTTTAATATAAAATGACAGCTTAACCTTTCCTTAGACAGAAGGACCTTAAAACACTTTTCCATTTATCCCCACCCCTCAATTTACATGCAATTGTTTTCATGTACTTTAGTTCTGTTTTTTTAAACACTCGAGACATTATTTTTGTTTTAAAATCACTATTAATTTAAACCTCCATATTTACCCTGTTGTTCATCATTCCTTCTTACAACTCCAAACTTCTATTTGGTATCATTTCCCTTCTGCTTAATGACATAATTTTTGTGTAGTTTGTTCACAAAAACTTCTCACTTTTTGTGTGAAATTTTCCTAATTTTACCTTTTGTACTTTTACTGTTAAGGACACTTTTGCTTTGTACAGAACTCTAGATTAGCAGTTATTTTTTTCCATTACTTTGAAGATGCCATTCCATTGTCTTGATTGCCATTGTTTTTACTGAATAATCAATTGCCATATATTTAGCCCTTTGAAACATACTTTGGGGGATTCCTGGGTGGCTCAGCGGTTTAGCACCTGCCTTTGGCCCAGGGCATGATCCTGGAGTCCCCAGATCCAGTCCCGCATCCGCTCCCTGCATGGACCCCTGCTTCTCCCTCTGCCTGTGTTTCTGCCTCTCTCTCTCTGTGTCTTTCGTGAATAAGTGAATAAAATCTTTAAAAACAAAAAAGAACATGCCTTATTTCTTTCACAATCTAGACCTTTTTCCTTTTCTAGTTTCCAGTAATGGTAATATTTGCATAAGTATGATTTTCTGAATATTTTGTTTGAGGTTTGTGGAACTTCCAAAACCTGTAGCTTGACGATTTTCATAAATTTTAGATATTTCTTAGGCATTAACTCCAAATATTCTTTCTTCTCCTTTCGGGACTACAGTTACATTAAAGTTAGCCCATCTCTGTGCTCTTCCCTGATTCTTTTCCATCCTTTGGACCCTCTATATAGATCATTTTGAATTTTTTCCTTCTGACCAAACCTAACTCACTATTCCTTCAGCTATTATTTCACCTGATGTTAAACTCATTCACTAAATTCTTAATTTTAACTTTGTTTTTGTTTCTTAAATTCCTAACTCCCTAATGAACCTGATCTCAGGGTCCAAAGCTCAAGCCCCATCCTGGCTATAGAGGTTACTATAAAAAAGAAAAAAAGAAAATAAAAAAAACTGAAGATGCTTTAAATTTGTAAAGACAAAAGATTAATAAAAGTAACTATCTTTCAAATCTTTTTAACAGCAAAGTGAAAGTGGTAAACAGTCTCCATTAAAAAAAAGAAAAAAAATCCAGGACTCTTAACAAAATTAAAGGTAGGCTTACATATAGAGCTACTTCAGAAATGGGATAATACCTAAGACATGGACAAATACCTTATTTTAATCTAAAAAAAGTATTTACTGGATCGTATATTCAAGTTTTCGATATGCCATTTGAAATAAATTATCCTTGAAAATAAATCATTCAATATAATCTCTGAATTATCTAGTTAACATAATATTTGCCTTAAGTATATCAGACAAATATTTACTATCAGCAAAATAAAAACCAGCAAAGCATTTTTGCATCTGAATGCCTGACATTCTGATCCAGTGGATTTACATTTTTTCCTAAGTATAGTAATTTTTAAAAATCTCTTTGGGTACTCAACATATTAGAAGTACAACTACCTATTTATAATTGCCAACTTCTAACATATAAGCCATCAATAAACACCAACACAATATTTTAGCAATCATCTTATGTGAATTGACAAATGGAAAACAAAATTCTCACTAACAGTGGGTCACCAAATTCTTTCTTATAACAGTTACTATAAAAAAATTTATTTAAAAAGCCTAAATACACAAACATGATTAAACATTTAAAATTAAACAAAAAAATAAGAAACAAAATTAAACTGAAATAAGTTATTTCCTTTTCCTCTTTTACAAAAAAATTCAAACATAAAAGGTCAAGTTTAATTCTAAGTATTTTTGTTTTTAATTGTTTTCTAATACAATTTTAGTAAATCATTTATTCAGTCGTTTCTTTAGGTTCTCAAGGTGTTCTGTTTTAACATCTTGCAATGCCAGTACCATTGCTTTAGACAAGGAAGGATTAAATGAAATAGTCATTAGACAGCACAAATCTATTAAATCTCTCTGACACTTCTGCAAACCATCCAGGAACTTTTGGTATTGAAGAGGGTCCTTTTTTGACTGTTTCATTTCTGGTACTGAAAACCCTATCAAACTAGTAAGTATTTCATCTGCAAAGTCTACATCTAGATATGCAGTACCATCAGAAATCTTTGCTGTTATACTCCAAATGCCACCAGAACTTGAAAGATTTCCAGTTAAGGTTACAATAAATGCTTTGACCTTCACTGTTGTAATTTTCTTTGGTCTGCTGGCCATTAGAATAGACAAATAGATAAAAGGTGGAGAATATAAATCCATGGCACTAGAAAGAGGAGTGCTGTACTCTGATGATCTTGAACAAGTCTGTAAATGGTGATCATTTTCATTAGAAATGTGTGAACTCCTTTTTGGTACATAATTTACCAGTTCTCTATTTGATATTGATATTTTATTATTTAAGGAATGTCCATCTATACTGCTGAAGGTTTGTTTTATTTTATTATCTGTCTCTGAGTCTTTATTTGTAAAATCATGGGGAAGGGGTACATTATTATGAACTGAAAAAACACTACTGTTTTGGTCTCCAGCAGATGGACTACAAAAAGATTTGCCTTCATTAATCATTTGCTCAGATAAATTTTTTTTGTCCCGATTATTATTTCTGCTTTTGCAAGTCAAAGAAATATTACCCAGAGTATTAGGTTTATGTAAGACTCTCTCTATTATACTCTCATCTGGGGTTCTGTTCAAAGTCAATGGCTGCAATTCTTCAGTTTCCATTTGTGAAACTATCTCTATACTTTCATCTGGGGTTCTGTTCAAAGTCAGTGGCTGCAATTCTTCAGTTTCCATTTGTGAAACTATCTCTATACTTTCATCTGGGGTTCTGTTCAAAGTCAGTGGCTGCAATTCTTCAGTTTCCATTTGTTCTTTCTGGACAGTTTCTTCTAAAAGCAAGGCCTCCTCCAGTGAAAAGTCATCTAATTCCTCATCAGTGAAACACATGGATGGATCTGGTGGTTTCTCTTTTGGTTTTGGAGAAATAATATCTTGTTGTTCAAAGCTTGACTGCCTTGTGGGAATAGTATTTGAAGAACTATCTGTACTGAAAAATCTTCTGTCTAAGGAGGTATCATTACTTGCTGCAAGCTCATTTTCATCAAGACTTGCCAAGAGTTCTTCATCAGAAGGTCCTAATGCAGGATCTAGAACATCTGTAATTCCTGGGATGCTTTGGTTAGGATTATTTGGTATAACTGAAACTATAGGATCAGGTTCCCCAATTAATCTTGCAAGTACTTTTTCTTGGGCATATTCTTCTAAAAGAGCATCTACTTCTCCTCCCAACAGCTTCACATTTTCTGGCTTCAATAAGAGCACGCCAAGGCGGAAAGAAATGTTTCCATAAATCAAAATTTTTGTACCTGGGGGAAGATCACTATGAAGAGCTGGAATAGACTGATATTCCATTCCCTGTATTTGTACAATTCCATCAGTTAGCTGTAGCATCAACATGCGTGAAGGTTTTGCTTCCCAAGGTTTTGGGGTGACCTGTGTTTCAGCTGTAATTAGGTCATTCGTTGTGTTCTTTCCTCTCAGCTTCTGTATCTGGGAATATGCAGGCTGACTGACATCAACCAATGAATTAATCTGCAGAGCAAAAAATCCAGTCAGTTCTCCTTTTGGAACTTCCAAAATGCCATCAGGTAAAAGAGGGTGTTCCAAATCTCTCAGATCAGTAAGAAGCCATTGCTCGAATACTTGTTTATTCATTTGTGCCTGACTCAAATTAACATTATCATTTTCCTCTTGAACCCAGTTAACACAAGCTTCCAACCACATTAGAGGTACTTTAACATGCCACGTAGCTAAAAGCCAGGTTTCAACTCTTAATGCAATATTAGTTACATTCATTCTTTTAAAATAAAAGAAATTGTGTATGTGTTACCTGAAAACAAAGAAAACAAAAAAATATGGTAATTCAGTACATTTAAATAGTTTCTACAATTATCTACAACTCACAGGTATAACCACACTCTTTAGATTTTTCTCTCTTCAACATCTTAAAATTCTTTGACTTTCTATATGGCCAAAATTCAAATACCACAAGTAATTAGATCATATAATGAGAAAAGCAAAACGTTTGAGACAGATATATTCAAATTACAAATTCTGTGACCTTTATAAATTTCTTAACTTCTCTAACCCAATGCCAATACACCATCTATCTAACCCAATGCCAATACACCATCTATCTTCCAGGGTTGTTGTGAAGATTACATGACTAACATTTGTAAAGCATAATGTCAGATCTATGAAAGATACTGGGTAATGGTAGTTATTATTATATTAATAATCAGATTCTAATCACTTAAAATTTAGTCAAAAAACAATAGTCACTAAGGTTCTCTTCATATGTTTAATTCATATTCTATTAAAACTCTTACTATTTTTTGTCCATCTAGCATTTAAATACATGGCCTGTGGATAAAAATATAACCAATAACAATGGAGTCTGAGCTGATATAAAGTATCTTGCTTGTTTGGCTAAATAAATCTCAACAGTCTTATACTTCTGATTTTCTCAGTATAACAGTAGTTGCAAAACACTAAACATTAATTAACCCTGTGTTCACAAAAGTATATTTTTTCCTCCCAAAGATGATAATATCTAAGAGTTAATAAAACTTATAAAAGTTAAAAAAAAAAACTTATAAAAGTTTTAATGTGACCACAAGAAAACTTACCATCTGGAACAGGAACATAGGATTTGATGACAGGATTTGGAACAGCTTGTTCAGTGGAGTAATTGTTATCTCTTCTGTTCAGAAATGGCCCTGGGACAAGAAGCAGTAATGGTTATAAGGCAAAGCTACAGAAAGAATCACTGGTCTATTCGCATGAGTGTAAGAGTTTGGTGCTACAGTATTGGGGTTCCCTATTATCAATCAGGGCAGAGTGGGGTAAAACAATAAAAACATAAAGTTTGGTATGAGCCAAAAAGAAACAAGTGACCCTGAGAAATTTATACATTGCCTGTGTGTTTCCTAGTCTGTATGTTTAACCTCATAAGATTACTGTAAAAATTAAAGAAGATAGAAAGAGGATGGACCACAAGGCACTGGCACAGGCACGTATCTTGGGCAGCTGGGCCAGGTGATCCAAAGGGGTGATCCAGCAAGCCTCAGGTATCCCCACCACCATGGACAGTCACAGGATTTACAGAAGCTTCTGTAGGATGAGAAGGGGGTGCCCAGAAAGTGTTCAAGGTCCACATGCAAAAGAAACTGAAGCTGAAGCAGGTCAAAGCAGCTCAAGCTGAAATAGAGCAGTACAGCCTGCAAAGAGAGAAAAACGTCCAAGGGTGAGGAAACTGCAGCTATGAGATCCCATCGCAGTGGCAGCCCTGAAGTGGAGGAGGCTCAGGAGATGATGACCATCTTTCAGGCATAATTCCAGCAAAACAGGGATGAAGTCCTAGATAACGTCTTAGCCTTTGAGACAGCAACCAGAAATTCATGAAAATTACCACATAAATGGACAAAGGAAGAAGAAAGAAGTGCCTGTTCCAGGGAATGGAATTTTGGATGCCTTCATGGAATATGAAATTTCAGCAAAACTTGAATTATATTCATGAAAAGGCAGTAAATTATTTCTGCATATTCTACAGCAAGTCCTATCTTTTTGGAGAATAACAAATCTAGCTTCTTTGTATGAACTTAAAAGCTTATCCTACTGTACAACATGGTGACTATAATTAATAATACTGTATTTCATGTTTGAAAGTTGCTAAAAGGGATGCCTGGGTGGCTCAGTGGTTGAGCGTCGCCTTCAGCTCAGGGCATAATCCTGGAGTTCTGGGATCGAGTCCCATATTAGGCTCCTGCAGGGAGCCTGCTTCTCCCTCTGCCTATATCTCTGCCTCTCTCTCTCTCAGTGTGTCTCTAATAAATAAATAAAATTAAAAGTTAAAAAAAAAAGGCTGCTAAAAGAGCAAATCTTGAAAGTTCTTATCACAAGAAAAAAACGCTATAATTATATGGTGATGTTAACTAGACTTATTGTGGTGATCATTTCACAATGTATACAAGTATCAAATCATTATATTGAACCACTGAAACTAATATAATGCTGTTTTTATACCAATTATACCTCAATTTTTAAAAAAACACCCAGAAAAAGGAGTTTACCCAAAGATTTCTTTTTTACCTTGTATTTTTTAGAAATGTAATGAATATACATTGTCTGGTTCCCTATGTCTTTTAGCTCAAGCAACATATATACATCAGTAGTGACTTTGGGGCACCTGGGTGGCTCGGTGGTTAAGCATCTGCCTTTGGCTCGGGTTATGATGCTGGGGTCCTGGGATCAAGTCCCACATTGGGCTCCTCGTGGGGTGCCTGCTTCTCCCTCTGCCTGTGTCTTTGCCTCTCTGTGTGCCTCTCATGAATAAATAGATAAAATCTTTAAAAAAAAAAATACTGACATTTTCTTTATTAGATGTAAAAAAAAAGTTTTGAAGAAAGAAAAGGGATTAAATGTTGTCATTTTTCCCTAGAGCTTTCTTGAGGGTAAGCAGCTTTATCTATGAGAAAGCAGTAAACAGTTATTTGTAACCCGTGTTACGTAGCAGAGATCCTTAAAATAGTCTTTTCTGGCTAACAGTCACAACAATAGGGACACCTGGGTGACTCAGGTAATTGAACGCCTGACTCTTGATTTTGGCTCTGGTGGTGATCTCAGGATCATGGGATAGAGCCCCACCTTGGGCTGTGTGTGGAGCACAGGGCCTGCTTGAGATTCTCTGTCTCCCTCTGCCCCTTGCATACATGCATGCTCGTTCTCTCAATAAATAAATAAATAAGTACTAGTATAATTGTTTGGGCTGCTTTGAGTTCCTCTTAATCAAAATTATTAGATGATAGAATAGGATTTGGTTACATTTTATTACATGTTATTATTTGGTATATTGATAATCATTTAAAAGTAAAGACTATCATGAAATCAATCAATCAACCAATCAAAATAAAATAAAATAAAATAGCTAGGAGAGCCAGTATATAATCTAGTGGTTAAGAGTAAAACTGCCAAATTGTCTCACACTTATAAATTTGGTGAACCTAAACAAGAGATCACATTAATTTAACAAATGGTTACAATTTAAAGGAGTTATAGTTGTGAGTTTTACATGAATAACATTTTAAAGGAGGGGCTAAGAAGGTCATTATAATTATAGAACTGGTGAATATTTAGAGTGAAAAAAGTGAGAATATAGATACATATTATGTTTTTAATTATATACGAAAAACAATTTAAAATTTCCAAGGCAGGAAAGGTCCCTGGCCCATTGTGTTGAAAACAGACCATGTAGAGATTGATCAAGACTCTTGAAGACAAAAAAAAAAAAGACTCTTGAAGACATTTAAGACTATGGCACCCCTATCCCAAGTCAGACATACTGCTTCTGCAAAGGATAAAAAAGAAAATCTCTGGACTGGGGGATACCAGAGTACAGTTGAAGTGGAGATACCATACTGAAAATAGAGGGAACAAATTAATTCCTAACTCCTACTAAACACTGACCACATACTACTCTCTTCCTTTACAAAGCACCCAGAAATACCAGCGACGAGTATGCTCTCCTAGAAAGGAGACTAGAAAATCTTCCTCTGGGCAGTCTTACTACCTTTACAGAAGAGACTTAAAAATATTAACACAAGAGGTTCTCCAATTAAAAAGCCCATGTTGAAATTGCATCCACAGACTCAGAGTTTCAATCAGCTGCTAGTTCCCCTCTCTTAACTATAACAAGACATCTAAGAAAAGATTCTAACAATAAGATGCATCAAACAAACAAAAAAAAGCAGTGAAGTAACAATGAAAGGAGACAAAAACTTCAAAAAAGCCATTACTAATACCCTAAGAAAGATACTAATATCCATGTAGTAAGAATAGGATTCTAAAACAAGAAATACTCATAGGACAGGGGCTCCTGGGTGGCTCAGCTCAGTTGGTTAAGCGTCTGCCTTCGGCTCAGGTCATGATCTGAGGGTCCAGAGACTGAGCCCCACATCAGGCTCCCTGCTCCGTGGGGAGCCTCCTTCTCCCTCTTCCTCTGCCTGCTGCTCCCCCCTGCTGTGCTCCCTCTCTGTGTCAAGTAGATAAATAATATCTTAAAAAATATTCATAGGACAAAAAACAACTCTTAGAAATTTAAAATATGATAGTGGAAAATGAGAAACAATAGAATGAATGGAAGATAAAGTCAAGAAATCTTTTCCAAATTTAAACATCAGTACAAAGAAATCAACAAAACACAGTGGAGATAGAAAGGAACAGTCAGTTAGTCTAACAGACTAGGAGTTCCAGAAAGAGAAAAGAGAAAATAAATGAGGGAGGAGGGAGGGATAATCAGAGAAATAAATTAAGAAAACTTTCAAGAACTTAAAGATAAGTGCTTCTGAATGGAAAGAACCCAGTATGATGGATAAAACATGTAACAAGGCATTATCTTTATGAAATTTTAGAATGTAGGGACAAAGATGTTGCAAGCTTCCAGAGAAGGATGACAAACAATAACGAATGAAAATGGCTTTAGATTTCTCAATAGAAACTGGAAGGTAAGTGAGTAATTCCTTCAAATTCTGAATGAAAAGTATTTCCAACCTACAAATCTCCACCTAGGCAAAGTATCAATCAAGTATGACAGTGAAAGAAAAACATTTTCAGATCAGCATTGTCCAAAACAATTTTGTAATGGAGGATATGTTCTAACATATGAGACATAAACCAAGAAAGAGGAAGAAATGAGAGGAAAAACATTATAGCGAGGGGCATTTGGGTGACTCAGTGGTTGAGCGTCTGCCCTTGGCTCAGGTCATGGTCCTAGAGTCCCAGGTTCAAGTCTTGCATCAGCCTCCTTGCAGGGAGACAGCTTCTCCCTCTGCCTATGTCTTTGCCCCTCTCTGTGTCTCTCATGAATAAATAAAATCTTAAAAAAAAAAAAAGCATTATAGTGAAAAGTATTTGCAAGATGTAAAGGCAAACAGCTCAGAGGCCTTGAAGAGAAATTATTTTTCAAGATAAAATCATGTGAGACCACTCTTTCCAGGATCTCCTGTTTTTCTCTTTCTTGGTTTATACTTCTATTAGTTAGAACATCAACATATCTCAACGCAGAGGAGAAATTTAAGTAACTATAGGAGTTAGGGGTTAACTTGATGAAAAATGGTAGAGAAAAGAAAAAAAAATGCCACTCAAGAGAAAATAAAATGTACTACAGGAAAGATAAAGCAGTATTTGTATACTACACAGCTTAGTTGTAAGTACTTAGTTATAAGTAACATGTGTGGTCATAACAGACACTCTAAATAATTATTTGACAAATTTTAATATACAGATTTGATAGCAAGATGGAAAAGGAATGGAAAGAAATCAAAGAGGGAGACAAACCATGACACTCTCAACTACAAGAAACAGAGTTGCTGGAGGGGAGATGGGTGAAGGAACAGGGAAATTGGATGATGGGCATTAAAGAAGGCACATAATGTGATGAGCACTGGGTTATATGCAACTGATGAATTACTGAACTCTATTTCTGAAACTAATGATGTACTATGTTGGCTAATTGAACTTAAATTAAAAAAAAAAAAAAGATGTAATACCAAAATGGAAAAATGTGTGTGAGGGTAGAAGTGGGTGAGAGAGGTAGATGGAGAGAGCTAAATTCTCATCTCTGCAGTAAGTCAACAGAAAGTGCCTAAAACTGAAAAATTAAGATGTAGCAATACCTGTATGGTGTCCTGAGTCCTAGAAGTAAATACAAAAAAGAATCAGCTAGATAAGTTGAAAGTGGTTGCTTTTGAGGAAGAGGACAGGGAATTGATATTTTTCAAAACAATTCTTTGAAGTTTGATATTTTAAATATATACAAAACTTTGTTTTTAAATCTTCTCCTTCCATTGATTTCTTTGTACTGATGTTTAATTTGGGGAGAAGATTTTAACTTTACCTTCCATGTGCTCTGAGTTTTTCATTTCTGCTATTAGCAATAAACAAAATAGTACAAAAGTATATCTTTTAAAATTAAAGGGATGAATTATAATAGTGATATACTGGGACGGATGGTAGTTACATTTGCAGCGAATAAACTTGTTGAATCACTGTTCTACACCTAAAGCTAATATAATATTGTGTCGACTATACAAAAAATAAATAAATAAAGGTATGAAAGACAAAATGCTTTCCTCCTAAGATCAAGAATAAAACAGATGTTGGGGTATCTGAGTGGCGTAGCCGGTTAAGCATCTGACTCTTGATTTCAGCCCAGGCTGTGATCTCAGGGTGGTGGGATCAAACCCCCCATGGAGCTCTGTGCTCAGTGCAGAGTTGCTTGAGATTCTCTCTCTCCCTCTCCCTCTGCCCCTCCTCCTCAAGCTCACACTCTAAATAATAAAATCTTGAAAAATATAAATAAACAGATGTGCTACTCACTTTGGCAGTACATATACTAAAATTGGAGGAATACAAAGAAGACTACCATGGCCTCTGTGCAAGGATAACACGCAAATTTGTCAAGCATTCCATATTTTTATGAAATAAAACAACAATACACAAAAAAGAATAAAGGAGAGGTCTACTCCCAACATTTTAACATTTACAGGAGGCCGCTGTGAGTGCAATAAGGCAAGATAAAAATAAAAGGTATATAGATTAAAACAGAAAAAAAAATAGCATGCAGAAAGATATATAGACCAATAGAACAGAATAAAGAGCTAGAAACAAACCCTCATATATATAGATACTCCAATGATCTTTGACAAGGGTGCAAAGATTACACAACAGAGAACAGATAGTCTCTTCAATAAATGGTGCTAGGAAAACTGGATATCTACATGCAAAAGGATGAAAATGGATCCTTATCTTACACCATCATCAAAAATTAACTCAAAATAGAGATCTAAATGTAAGGCCTGAAACTATAAAACTACCATAAGAAAATATAGGAGGAAAAGCTTCATGACACTGGAATTATATCTTGGATATAATACAAAAGAATAATTAACAAAAGCAAAAACAGACAAATAAGACTATATCAAACTTAAAACTTCTGTGCAGCAAAGTAAAAGAGTAAAAAGCAACCTACAGAATGGGAGAAATATTTGCAAACCATAATCTGATAGGGGTTAATATCCAGAATATATAAAGAACTCCTGAACTCGGTAACAACAACAAAAAACAAATTTTAAGAGTGGGCAAAAAAGTATACATTTTCCCAAAGATATACCAAAGGCAAACAAGCATATGAAAAGATGTCCACCATCATCATCATAAGGGAAATGCAAGGGCAGCCCAGGTGGCTCAGTGGTTTAGCACCGCCTTCAGCCCAGGGTGTGATCCTGGAGACCTGGGATCGAGTCCCGCGTTGGGCTCCCTGCATGGAGCCTGCTTCTCCCTCTGCCTGTGTCTCTGCCTCTCTTTCTTTCTTTCTCTCTCTCTCTCTCTCCCTGCATGGAGCCTGCTTCTCCCTCTGCCTGTGTCTCTGCCTCTCTCTCTCTCTCTCTCTCTCTCTCATGAATAAATAAAATCTTAAAAAAAAATGAAGGGAAATGCAAATCAAAACTGCAATGAGGTATCATTTCATACCCTTTAGAATGGCAACTAGCCAAAACTAAAACCAAAGAAAATAACAAGAGTTGGTGAAGATGTGGAGAAATCGGAACCCTTACACCTACTGTTGGTAGATTGTAAAATGGTGCAGCAGCTATGGAAAACAGTATAGAGGTACCTCAAAAAATGAAAAATAGAACTACCATATGATCTAGCAATCCTAGTTCTAGGTATATAACCAAAAGAATTGAAAACAGAATCTCCAAGAGGTATTTGCAAACCCCTATTCATTGTGGCATTATTCACAACTGACAAGATGTAGAAGCAACTTTGTTGTTCCATAACAGATGAATGGATAAAGAAAATATGGTATATAGATAAAAAGAAATATTATTTGGTCTAAAAAAAGGGGGGGATCATGTCATATGCTACATGTAACATTCATGAACCTTAAGGACACTATGCTCAGTGAAACAAGCTAATCACAAAAAACAAATACTGCATGATTCTACTTATATAAAGAATCTAAAGTAGTCAAATTCATAAAAATAGAAAGATGTGATTGCCAGAGACTGAGGGAAGGGAAAAATGATAATTGTTCAATGGATATGGAATCTTATTCATGCAAGATGAAAAAGTTACAGAGATCTCTTGTATGATGTGTATTGAGTTAACAATATCATAATGTACACTACAGTTGTTTAGAGGGTAAATTTATGTGTTTTCTAGAGTAAGAAAAACAAATCAAAAAGAAAAAGAAAAAAAAGAAAACATTACTTCTAAAATAAAGATAACATGAATGTTTATGAAGAATGCACCAAAGAATCTACAAAATAGCTATATGGCCTGATAAATGAGTTAGGGAGATGCATCTTTTTCACATTATTTCATGTTACATTTTCCACATTTTTGTGTGTTGATGGTTTCACTGTTTAAAATGACCCCTGCACAGTGCTGAAGTGCTGTCTTATGTTCCCAAGTCAAGAAAACTGCAATGTGTCAAATGGGGGAAAAAATGAATGTAACAAAATATATGCAGGATATTTATCCTGCAAATTACTGATGAAAGAAATCAACGACAACCAAAACAAATGAAGAGACTTGCTGTGTTGAAGACTCTATCTTAAGGTTTCAGTTCTCCCCCAACTAAAGATTCAATGCAATTCCATTCAAAATCACAGCAATCTGTTTTTTGTAAAAAATGACAAGCTGATTCTAAACTTTATAAGAACAAAATAATAATAAAATTTATAAAGAAAGGTAAAGGAACTAGAATAGTCAAGATAGGGCAGCCCGGGTGGCGCAGCGGTTTCGCGCTGTCTGCAGCCCAGGATGTGATCCTGGAGACCCGGGACTGAGGCTCACATTAGGCTCCCTGCATGGAGCTTGCTTCTCCCTCTGCCTCTCTCTCTCTCTCTCCCTGTCACTCATGAATAAATAAATAAAATCTTTAAAAAAAATAGAATAGTCAAGATAATTTTGAAAATAAAACACAAAGTTAAAGGACTCACACTATCTGACTTCAAGACTTCGCATACAATCGAGACAGTGAGGTATTGGCAAAAAGATAAACATATAAGCCAAAGGAAAGAGAAGACAGTCTAGAAATAGACCCACACATAATATGGTCAGCTGATTTTCTACAAAGTTGCAATTCAATGGAAACAGGATAGTCTTTTGAACAACTGGTGCTGAAACAACTGGGCATTCATACTCAAAAATAAGAACCTCAACCAATACCTCACACTTTATATAAAAATTAGCTCTTAAGTGAATCATAGACCTAAACGTGAAAATTAAAACTATAGGGCAGCCCTGGTGGCCCAGCAGTTTAGTGCTACCTTCAGCCCAGGGCCTGATCCTGGAAACCTGGGATGGAGTCCCACATCAGGCTCCCTGCATAGAGCCTGCTTCTCCCTCTGCCTGTGTCTCTGTCTCTCTCTCTCTGCCACATGAATAAATAAATAAAATCTTAAAAAAAAAAAAAAAAAAAAAAAACTATAGAAAAGCAGGGACGCCTGGGTGGCTCAATGGTTGAGCGTCTGCCTTTGGCTCAGGGAGTGATCTTGGAGTCCCGGGATTGAGTCCCACATTGGGCTCCCTGCATGGAGCCTGCTTCTCCCTCTGCCTGTGTCTCTGCCTCTCTCTCTCTCTCCTCTCTCTCTGTGTCGCTCATGAATAAATAAAATCTTTAAATAAATACATACATACATACATATACATACTACGGAAAGGTATAAGTTTAGAGAAAAAATCTGTGATCTTGGTTTAAGTTTTTTCTTTTTTTTTTAAGATTTTATTTATTTATTCATGAGAGACACAGAGAGAGGCAGAGACACAGGCAGAGGGAGAAGCAGGCTCCCTGCAGGGAGCCAGATGCGGGACTCCATCCCAGGGACCCAGGATCACAACCTGAGCAGAAGGCAGATGCTCAACCGCTGAGCCACCCAGGTGCCCCTCTTAAAAGTTTTCTTAAGGACAACATCAAAACTATAATCCATAAAAAAAGAAATTAATAAATTGGGCTTTATCAAAATTTTTAAATTCTGCTCTGTGAAAGACACTAAAAAATATAAAGACACACATACAAACTCACACATGACAAACCACAAACTGGGGGAAATAATTGACAGAAGACTTGTATCCATTATATATGAAGAATCTATACTTAAAATTCAGTAAGAAAAATAACTTATGTTAACATGAATAAAACATCTGAATAGACACTTCACCAAAGATATGCAGAAGGCAAATAAACTCATTAGCTCAACATTATTAGACCTTAAGGAAATGCAAAATTAAAATCACAATGTGGTACTACACATCTATTAGCATGGCTAAAATAAAAAATAACTGAGAATACCAAATATTAGAATTTTCATACATTGCTGGTGGGAATACAAAATGGCACAGCCACTTTGGGAAAACAGATAAGCAGTTTCTCAGAAAGAAAAACATACACTTACCATAACAATCCAACAATCACATTACTAGGTTATTATTCAAGAGAAATGAAAACGTATACTAATTAAAAACCTTTTCTGTGAATGTTTATAGCAGCTTTATTCATAATAGCCGAAAACAATCCAGATGTCCTTCAACTGATGATGGATATATAAATTATGGGACATCATTACAATGCAATATTATGCAATAATAAAAAAGAATAAACTAAGACTAGATCAAAGCCATGCATGAATGTTGCTATAGACTGCATCCCCCAAAAAATTCATATGTTGAAATCCTAATGCACAATGTGATGGTATTAGAAGTAGGGCTTTGGGGACATGCTTATTAGGTCAGGAGGGTGGAGCTCATGAAAGAGATTATGGCTTTTATAAGAGATCACACTACCACCACCACCACTACCACAACCCCCACAGAGCTACCTTGCTCCTTTCACCATAGAAGGTTACAGTGAAAAGATGGCCATCCAGGAACACAGAAGTGGTTTCTCCTCACCAAACATTGAAACTGTTGACACCTTGATCTTGGACTTCCCAGCCTCCAGAGAAGTAAATTTCTGTTGTTTCTAAGCCCTTCAGTTTATGGTATTTTGTTAGAGCAGCCTGAATGGACTAAGACAAATGTCAAATGTAGGATGTGAAGTGAAAGAAGCCGGACAAAGACTGCACAATTCCATTTACATGACATTCTAGAAAAAGCAACATTAGCCACAAAAAACTGTTCAATGGTTGCCCAAGACTAAAGATATAAGGACTGACTACAGGAGCATAAGGAAACTGGGGGGAGGGTGACAATCATGATGGTGGTGGTGATAGTGATATGGCTATGTTTGTTAAAACACACAGAGCTAAACAAAAGAAAAACATGTTAGTGTATATAAATTATATCTCAATAAAAACTGAAGGTAAACACCAAAAGAATAGAAATGTAATTTCCAAGCTAGCCGAGGAAAAGAAATAAAGAAAACAATCCAACAGAAGGCATTAAGCAATATCCAACTATAAATACAAACAATAAAATGGTATAAACATGTCTAAATATATCAGCAATCAAAAATGAATATAGATTAACTCACCTGTTAAAAGATACTCTCAAAATGAATAAACCAAATCCAGTTGTATGCTTAAGGGACAGAACTAAAACAAAATAACATCAAATATGAAATTAATTAAAATAAACCCATGTTAAAACCTCCAAGCATGATTCCACGAAGCCATAGCTTAGTGACATCTTATCCTCAAGACTAAAAGATCTGTACAGTTGACCCCTGAACACAGGTTTGAACTGCACAGGCCCACTTTTATGCAGATTTTTTTCAATCATTATATTATTGTAAATGTGTTTTTTCTTATGATTTTCATAATATTTTCACCATCTTCCTTTACCATAGAATACAGTATATAGAGGTACCCCGGTGGCTCCATCAGTTAAGTGTCTGTGGCTCAGATCATGATATCAGGGTTCTGGGATCCAGCACTGCAGTCGGGCTCCCTGCTCAGCAAGGAGCCTGCTTCTCCTTCTCCCTCTGCCCCTACCCACCCCCCACCCCCACCTAGTTCATGCTCTCTTTCCATCTCAAATAAATAAATAAAATTGAAAAAAAAATATATATATATAGTACAATGTAACACAAAATATGTTCTAATTGACTACTTATGTTACCAGCAAAGCTTCTGGTCAACAGTAAGCTATTAGTAGTTACAGGGGAGTGGAAAGTTCTAAGTGGATTTTCAAGTGTGTGGTGGTCAACACCCTAACCCCAGCTCTGTTCAAGGGTCAACTGTAATTTTATTGTATCTGCTGTCATTTTTTTTTTTTTACCTAAAAAATTAAGCCAAATCCATGGCTCTTAGGTGTGCTCATTCAATAAGTTCCCTATTTCCTCCACTAAAATGTAAATACCACAGCACTGGCAGGTTGACCTAGTATAATTTGCAAAGGTGTTGTGGAAATGTAATGACAGTAAGTAAAATGAAATTAGGACAAAGTGTACCTTTAGTTGAGTTATAAACTGTTTAAGCAAATTATCAAGCATAAATGCCACAATTACAATGAAGTTGTCTGCAGAATCTTTTGTACTATAAGTCACTCTGGGGACAGTATATACCCCCATTATGACATGCAGCCACATAAATAGCAATGCTACTTTCTAGCTGAACCTATTAAATACTAGGAGCTAATACTATGGGTAATTTTAGGAGGAGGAAGGAACAAATGAAAAACGAAGAAAGACTGACTAGCTGTGAATTGAAAAAGGTCAAGGCTGGACAGAAAATGAACAAGGATGAATTTCAGAGATATCAATCCTATATCCCAGCAAGTACAGCTGTATAAACAGAGATAAAGATAAGGACTTGTTGAAAATCAAAATTAAAAAAAAAAAAAGAAAATCAAAATTAAAACCTCTTATTTGTAAGATTTTTAACTTTTTTAAAAATATTTTTACATCTGTTATATTATACCTAAACCTCAAAATAACACGATAGAATAAGTAGTCATCTACATAAAATAAATAAAACTGAGGCATGAAGATTAAAATATAAAGATCAAAAACAAAACAAATCATAAAGATCATGTGGTAGCAGACCCAGAACTAGAACTAGTTCTTCTAATATCCATTTCTAAGCCTTTTGCTAGACCCTGTTGACTTCTGTGAAAAGGGGTTAACCAGTCCCTTATTTACTTGTAAAACCCACTATAAAATGCACTCATAAAAAGTCATTCTAAAAGAGCACTACTTGCTATTATAATGAACACACTTTTCTCAGATCTCAAATAATAAGCTCATCTAGTATATCCTAACTTATTTCATTTAGTGTCAAGTGAAAGAAAAACTTAACATCACCCACTGCATCTATCTGTAACAGCTTCAAAACAATAGTGCCATGGTTAATTACTACTTTTCCTTTGCTATAACTCTACAAAAATACCACATAAAACAATTTCAAATTTTTAAAAACTTACAAACTGATGTTAAAATTTAGGTATCCGGGATCCCTGGGTGGCGCAGCGGTTTAGCGCCTGCCTTTGGCCCAGGGCGCGATCCTGGAGACCCAGGATCGAATCCCACGTCGGGCTCCCAGTGCATGGAGCCTGCTTCTCCCTCTGCCTATGTCTCTGCCTCTCTCTCTCTCTCTGTGTGTGACTATCATAAATAAATAAAAATTAAAAACATTTAAAAAATAAAAATAAAAAAAAATAAAATTTAGGTATCCATTTTTTTTCCCTTTACTTCAAACACATACTCCCTTGTTAGTGTTGTTGAAGATGACAAGTGACAAACTCCTTTCAAATGACAATTGGGACAAATTCTGAGAAACTCTGCTCAGTGAACCACAACTAAATTGTTCTATTAATGTGTGGCAGTCCTAATTAATAATTCTATCCTAGTACTATCCTCTTGGATTTAAATCTCTACTTCTCAAGCAACTACGTTTTTATAATAATGTTACCGAAAGCAGGCAAAGAAGAAATTCTAATGACTAAAAAACCCCAAAAGATAACCAAGACACATTTAAAACACTAGTAAATGTAATAAGATATACTTAACAGTATAGAAGCACTCAAATATAACTAATCTCAAATATTTTACCAAAAGAGTCAAGAACTTTGGGGGGAAAACTGCTAAATGAACATGTTACATAGAATTCTTCATTTAAAAGCAAATGTAGGGTATAATGATCAGATATGGATGTAGTCCCCCAACTGCATGTTATAACAATTGTAATAGAACTTCTGGGTGGCTAAGGAGCTAAACATCTGCCTTTCCCTCAGGTGTGATCCCAGGGTCCCAGGACTGAGTCCCCCAGGGGGCTCCCTGCTCCACAGGAAGCCCACTTCTGCCTCGGCCTCTCTCTCTCATAAATAAGTAAATAAAATCTTTTTTTTTAGTTGTAATAAATAAAAGAATTCTATATATAACAGGATGTTTTCTACAGGTTAGAAAGTAAATTTTATTTAAAAATTTAATTAAATGGAAAAAGTATTATAACATAGGATCTATATTTATTATAAAGTTTAGACTGGGTTTCAACAACCAAGCCTTTTAATAATTTAATTAACTATATTACTTGCATCTACTCCTCCTGAGAATTCTTAAAGTTTTCCTTCCTGTCTTTCTGGAGAAATTGAGCAATCATAGTCACTGCAGGTAGAAACAACCTAGAGGGGAGGTGTGACCTAGGGAATACTATCTCCCAACTGCTCATACACAGTGAACAGCCCCTAGTTCTCAAGAACACATTGTCTAAAAAAGAAAAAAAAATATGGAAAGGTATGCTTTTTAAACTGTACATTAAAATGAATAAATAATAAAAATATAAAAAATAAAAAATTGTACATTAAGAAATGTTCCTAACAGGGCATCCCAGGTGGCTCAGTGGTTTAGCACCACCTTCAGCCCAGGGCAAGATCCTGGAGACTCAGGATTGAGTCCCACATCAGACTCCCTGCATGGAACCTCCTTCTCCCTCTGCCTGTGTCTCTGTCTCTGTCTCATGAATAAATAAAATCTTTTTTAAAAAAAATCATTAAAAAAAAAAAAATAGGGCAGTCCAGGTGGCTCAGCGGTTTAGCGCCGCCTTCAGCCCAGGGCGTGATCCTGGAGACCCGGGATGGAGTCCCACATCGGGCTCCCTGCATGGAGCCTGCTTGTCCCTCTGCTTCTCCTCCTGCCTGTGTCTCTGCCTCTCTCTCTCTCTCTGTGTTTCTCATGAATAAATAAATAAAATCTTTTAAAAAAAAGAAAAAAAATGTTCATACATATCACTTCTTTTACTCTCCCAAATGAATCTTAATAAAACAATCAAAAGGAGGACAAATATTTACATGCCAGAGTGTTTATCACTGTATAGTATGGAAAAAAAACAGAAACAATCAAAATGTTCAACAACGGGGAGGAAAAATTACACTATGTTGGATCTGTGAGATGGACGGTTATTGTCTTTTAAAAAAATTTCTAAAGCTCTATTGAATATGAAAATACATTTATAATTTAGTTACAAAAAAAGCCAGATACAAAATCACATACATCTTAATCCCCATTAATTTTATAATCATGAAAAAAATGTTTTCTAAAAAACTGATTTTATACACACTAAACACAATAATCTACATTTAAGTTCTTCACTGCAGGAACTGACCAGGAAAGAATAGAGTAGGAAAAACCTATTATTCACCACAAAGACTTAGACCTATTGGATCTATAAGTTAATTTTCAGTTCCCCTGGGTGGCTCAGTCGGTTAAGTGTCTGCCTTCGGCTCAGGTCATGATACTAGGGTCCTGGGATTGAGCCCCGCAGCAGGCTCCTTACTCAGACGGAAGCCGGCTTCCCACTTTGCCCATCTCCCTCAGCTCCTGCTCTCTATCTCTGCTTTCTCTCAAATTAAAAAAAGGGGGGGGGGGGATTTTCAATTGGCCTCAGCTATTCCAATTGTTTAAAAACTAAACAAAAGTGACAAGTGATAGTGACGTGTACCAGGTGTCAAACAGAAGTACTATCCTTTTGGACATTGTACGTGGCATTAAACAAATAGCTGAGACTTAAAAGCACTAACAAATATTGAAATCATAACCACTCCATGTTTACACTAGCTTCATCTAAAAAATAAAAGTGTGTGTCTTAACTCGTTAGAGATAACTCCAAAATTTTGAGAAGGTATTATCTGAAAATTGGGGGGGGGGGGGGGCGTGTTGTAACCAGTGACTGAAATTAGAAGTTATCAGTGGCGCTGTTTGTGAATCCTCCATAACCTACCCTAAGGAAAAGACAGAGACTAGGTTTAGCAGCTTGAATCCTACATCTGCCATGTGACTTCAGACACGTTTCTTAACTTCTCAGTCTTAATTTTCTTATCCATGAGACAAAGATAACCACAATTTACTTGTAGGACTGTTGTAAGCTTTAAACTGCCAGCACAAGGTTAAGACATATAGTGAAGAACTCACGAAATGGTAGTTACAATATTTCAAATAATCATTCAGTTGGGGACCCCTGGGTGGCTGAGCGCCCGACTTTGGCTCAGGGCATGTTCCTTAAGTCCAAGGGATGGAGTCCCACATCTGGCTTCCTACATGGAGCCTGCTTCTCCCTCTGCCTTTGTCTCTGCCTCTTTCTCTGTGTCTCTCATGAATAAATAAAATCTTAAAAAAAAAAATCATCCAGCTGCCTAGTGTACAATCTCAATTGTTGGTTTATCTAAAGTAAATACTAGGGATCCCTGGGTGGCGCAGTGGTTTGGCGCCTGCCTTTGGCCCAGGGCGCGATCCTGGAGATCCAGGATCGAATCCCACGTCGGGCTCCCGGTGCATGGAGCCTGCTTCTCCCTCTGCCTGTGTCTCTGCCTCTCTCTCTCTGTGTGACTATCATAAATAAATAAAAATTAAAAAAAACTGCCTTGACTCACTAAAAAAATAAAAATAAATAAATAAATAAAGTAAATACTAGCTCTAAATTCACTGAGAGTTCAAAATAACCATAAAATTAATTATACAAGAGAGGAGGCACTGAATGCATCCATCAAGTTGGCAATCCTTGAATGAACAAAAGTACAATACAGTAGTTTAGTTGAAAACAACAGAGGATGAAAAAATGGTGAAAAGGCAGACCTTACTGTTATTTAAAGAGTACACCTAAAAAGTGAATTAAAACAAGGAGGAAACATGTGGAAAAAGAAGGGAAAAAAAACCCCATCTGGCAATGACGTCTAAAAAAAGGTCAGTAACAGCTTCCACCAGTTAGGGCCCAGTCAGAAGACAGTGAAACTGGGAGGAGGAAGTTCATTGATAGGGCTGTTTACCTTGCCTTACTTCTCTTCACTTTCTCAAGGCAGAAAATGATGGCTACACCAGAAATACTAGCTTGAAAGAAAGCATCAGTTCAGTACCTTATAAGTGATAGTGACGTGTACCAGGTGTCAAACAGCAACTTAATATTGCAAATCCTGACTGGCAGATTAAATCTCTATAATCCAAGAATTCACAACCCCTACAAACCGGTATCAATTCTTAGTCAAATATTTAAGAAAGACCTGCACCTCTCTCTGCCTGTGTGTCTGCCTCTAAGAAAAGAAAAAGAAAAAGAAAAAAGAAAAGAAAGAAAAAAGACCTGCACCATGTAAGGTAGAACCAAACTGTGAACTAAGTATTACCTCCCAACAAGACTCTTCATAGACAGGCTCTTTATGGGGGGGGGGGGGCATTCAAAAACACATCACATTTAAAGGGACCTATATACTTCACAATCCTAGATGCTGTGCTCTAACATTATTTAACTATCCTCCAAGCCAGTAAATGTTCATGCTTCGTGAAGTCCTCAGTTCTCCCAAACAAGAGTTTCTCCCTAATTAGGCAAGTAAAAGATAATGGATGAACACAATTATACAATAAAACAATGCTGGTCACATCCACTTTGCGAATTATTCAAGAGGGAAATCAAGTTATGATAGGATGGGGAGGGACATCTGAGTGGCTCAGCAGTTGAGCGGCTGCCTTTGGCTCAGGTCATGACCCCCAGGTCCTGGGGCTCCCCGCAGGGGGCCTGCTTCTCCCTCTGGCTAGGTCTCTGCCTCTCTCTGTGTCTCTCATGAATAAATAAATAAAATCTTTAAAAAAAAAAAAGTTACAAGAGGATGAGACAGCACAAATTCACACTACAAAACGTATATATCTGCATTCTCCTAACGGTGGGCTTAATTGCACACGCAAATTATAACATTTTATGCTTCAACACGTATGTGGGGTTGTGGGTGAAGGCTGGGGACACTGGCACCGGCCAGGCCACTTTCCAGAGTCGTCACCAATTCCCAGTCCCTTAACAAAAGAAGTTCTCCGAGCTGGGCGCGGGGCCTTACAAGTAACCCAACGCACAACAAGCACGATCTTGACTAGGCTACGACGTTGTGGGTCCGTTTCCATCACAGCCGACTCCCGACACTCCCTCAGACGGAGGGATGAACAGCCGGATGCATAGGATTCGGACGTGTACAACTTACTGCGCCGTTTGCATTCATTTGGGGAGACAGAATGCAACACCTCACAGAGAAGCTGCAGCGACGACACCACAAAATACTCTCCTCACAGGCCCCATTCACAAACATGGGGGCGGGGCAAGGGATTAAGAAGAAAAAGAGGGAGAAAGAATGGACTCGCCCGGACGCGCGTGAAAGCGCCTGGGGTCTCCGGGGAGCGCCGGCACAGAGCCTGGGGCGAAGGGGCCAGTCTCCGGGACTGCGAGGCCGGCCCGCGTCTTCCGGGATCCCGCCAGAGCGGACGGCTGACGGCGAGCCGCACACCGCCTGCTGCGCCGCGACCGGGCCGCGCCTGCCAGGCGCTGCGACCCGTTACAAACAGCGGGGCTACCCAGCGGGCGGGCCGCATTCACCAACAGGCGGAAAGCGGGCTGAGCGGCGGGAGGGAGCCGCAAGTGTGGACTGTGGAAACCGGGGCATTCGTCTGGGCCTACCACTGACCTGGGCGTCCCGCCTTCCTCTCGCGCAACAGCGGTCCCCGGGCCGCGCGACTGAGAACAGGAACCAACAGGCTCGCGCCCTAAGCCTTTTTTTTTTCTTTCCCCTCTCGCTTCCCGCCCGATTTCCCGCGCGCTCACGCCCCTCCTCCAAACCTAAAATTCCTTCAGCCCCCTCCCAAGTGCGCGTGAACCAGATAGCCCTCAGTTCTCGCGAGAGGCTTTCCTCCTCCCTCCCCTCTGCCACTAGTGAGTGCGCGAACGAGAAAGGAGGAGGGCGCTCCAGGCGAAAGCACTGCGGACGCCATTATCCTCTGTTTCTCAGCTGCTGCAACCTCGACGTCTCGGCTACGTCCCGCTTCTTTGCGGCCTATAGGTAATTGGGGCTTTTGGCGCTAGGGTGTTATAGATTCAGGCATGGGTTTGGCTTCCCTAAAGGCTGCGTTGACTTCTTTCAAGCCCGGCTTTCCTCGGGCCCGTAGCGGCCTCACAACCTAAAGGGAGGCGCCGGCGCGAGGCGTGGCGTCGCCTCCTTCGGCGCTTTGATTGACACGGCCTTGGGCCAATCACTTTGCCCTCGCGCCACCGCTAAACCCCGGGCAACCAATTGGGCTCGGCGGCGGGGTAGGGAGCGCGGGGAGGCGGGGGCAGGCGGCGGGGGCCTGCGCTCGCTTTCTGTCTAGCTGTGACCGGCTGAGGCGGCGAGGTGGCGCGGCGGCACAGGGACGGCGGCCTCGCGCGGTGAGGAGCGGGGCTGGATGAACGGCGCGCGGGGACGAGGGTCAGAGACCAAGTTTGCCGCTTGCGGGAGGCGTTTGGGGGCTGCTTGATGGTTGGCGGGTTCTCTGAGAGGGAACGTTGCCCGGTTTCCCCTCCCCCCACCTCCGCCATTTCCCTGAGCGTATGTCCGCAGTCCGAGCTGTAGTGCTAAGAGGCTTCGAGGATTTGTGAGGCATGTGTCTGTAGGATGATCGGTAGTTTTGTAGTTTTCAGAACTAGACATCTTGTGTAGGAAGGCGAAGTGGCCGGCGGGCGGGACCCGAGGGCGGTGGAGGACGCCGCCGCTCTCTTTGTGTGGGTCCCAGCGCACTAGGCCCTCCCGGCCCGGGCTTGGAGCTGGAGTGGGGGAGATGGAATGGTGGAGGCTGCCTCCGTTGCTTTGTCTCTCCCGCTGTGGGGGGAGGGTGCGGGGGATGAGATCTCGGGACCGCGTGGTGGGTGGGGGAGGGGGTCCGCGCTCGGCTCCGCCTAGTAGCACGTAGTCGCCATTACGCGGGCCGCCATTTCCTGTCGGGTCCGGGTGAAGAGCTTCGCGGCGCTTCTGCTCTCGCCTTCGGCTCTTTGAACTCCTGTTCCTGGGCTGTGGCGGATCTCCGGTACTGCGCGGCGGCGGGGCGGGAGCACGTTCGCGTTCGGCTGGTCGCGCCCGTATTTAGCGTTTTTTTTTTTTTTTTTGCGGTTTGAGGAGTGGTAACTAAAAGACTTGAACGGTGAACCGCGGCAACGTTTTCCTTACGAATGGAGTCCGCTGTCTTTGAAGTTCCTTAATGTAAATCTTCATCGTGCCTGAACATTTAGTTAAATGATGGCGGTGAGGGTAGCGTTTCAGTTAGTCGTTGGAAGAGAGGTTTATCGACAAACGGTATGGAAGATCGGGAGGCATAAATGTAGCTTGAGGCTGTCGTCTTCCTACCAGAGACTAGCCCTTGAGGGCTGGCGAAAGGTTGTCGGCGGTCCAATCGCTCGCGCTAGAGGGTCTGATTGTTAGGTTATAGACTTTTAACCTAACTTAAAATATTCTTAAGGTGACAATATTAGCATTTTAGGGCTTTATCGGCTGTTTGAATAATCGAGTAATACTAGCAGTTGGGGGGGTCTGATCCTGTATGAAGTTTTAAGATTTAATTCTCCGGTACATTGACCTGATTGTGGGATATACTAGCTTGAATTTGCCTTCATACTTGTAAGTTAAGAGATTTCAGAGACTGGCCTTTCAAGTCACCAATGGGAAGATACAAAGCCACGCGCAATTTAAAATTCCAGCATAGCTGATTTTGTATCTATAAACGTACACCTTTGGGGACAAAACTGAAGGCTTTGGGGCTTAGGTCGTCCAGACTTCGTCTTCTCTGTATTGTGTAAACAATCAGTTGCCGTGGTGAGACTGTCCAGTGGCTAAAAATTTGGTTTTCTTTTTACAAAGAATGAGATAGGGTCCTGTGGTTTTTGGTTTGTCTTAAGGCAATCATTTGAGAGTATAAGACCCAGTTTTAGGAAGAGCTGTTTTGTTTGTATTCAAATCGCTGTTAACTAGTATTCAGTAATAACCAAAAAGCAACCAAAAGGCAAAACTGATTTATGTTGGTTTTTATAGGCTACTGCAGCACTAGGGTGTCAGTTGGTCCCGCCCAGAACACTTCAGTTCTGCTCTGCGAGGATATATAATACCTGGTACGTTCTAGAAGCAGAGTCATTTCTTTGCCTTTTTTATTATTATTCAGTGAGACACAAAGCTTACTTTGCAATAAACCAAATGTACAAGTCTCTTTATTTTTCAACAGATTGGTGTGTCCATTTGATACACGAAAATGGAAACTGAACAGCCAGAGGAAACCTTCCCCAACACCGAAACCAATGGTGAATTTGGTGAGAGATTTTAATTTTAACAATTTCTGTATTTTCCATTCTGTTTCATTATTTAGAACTGTTTGGTCTGACATCCCACTCAGTTATCTCTTGATTCTTATTTATGAAGTAGACATGAGTGTCATTTGCATTAACGGCTGTAACCTTTACAGAGGATAAAAATACTATTTATTTGCATTTTACAACCATCAATCCTTTGAAGTATTTTGTCCCATTGTTTTGTGTTTAGAAAGTGTTATTGGGAGGGAATGTGCTTTGAGTTAGCAAAACTCCAACAGAATCGAGCTGCTTTCTCTGACCAATGGGTTGAAACTAAAATGTAATTGAAATAAAGGTGCTTTTTCTTATAGTAACTAGTGCTTTTTTGAAATCTGAACTAATTTGTAGGTAAACGCCCTGCAGAAGATATGGAAGAGGAACAAGCTTTTAAAAGATCTAGAAACACTGATGAGATGGTTGAACTACGCATTTTGCTTCAGAGCAAGGTATAAATTTTGTTCTCAAAAATTTGAGGTTGGTTCTATCTAAAGTAGAAATTAAAATAAGTTACAGTTTGGCTCTCTGGGAATCAGTGTAAACCTTACAGTTTGAAGAATATAAAGATTAGTGTGTCCTTTTCCAAACAGGTTTGTAGGCCACATTATTTCGATAATAGTTAAAAACACTTAATGTAGTGAGTCCGTACAGGTCAAAGTAGGGTGATGCTTAAGGCATTGATGGATTAAAGTTTATACCTTGATTGCATTGTAGGGAAAACATAGTTGGTAACAGTGTGAGGGTACCTAATACATTTAAGTTATTTTTTTATCAGAAGGAAACTAAAATTAATTAATGCTTAACTTTTATGCTCCATGTAATTTTTGGCGTGCTGAAAAATCCAAAGCTGTCTTGATTGTTTGGTCCCCAAAGTACATAGACTCTTGATTTTTTTTTTTTCTTTTTTTACATGATGGTTTTGATTTTGATCACCTCCAAATAGATTTTCAGTTCTGTCACCCAAAAAAGGGAGGTTAGAGGGTTTTTGTTTTTTTGCTGCAGTTTAAGAGCATAGAAAGGCATATTAACCTAAGGAAAGGGAAAAGTAAGCTTTTTTTGTCTTTTTTATCTTCTCCAGAATGCTGGGGCAGTGATTGGAAAAGGAGGCAAGAATATTAAGGCTCTCCGTACAGACGTAAGTATTAAAGAGTTTAAACTACTACACAAGCAGCTTCAGTTTATGTGTGTAGAAATTTAAAGATTTGCATCATAGAAATCATTTAATAGTCTAGTTACAAGCCATTTGTAATAATTGATTACATAGATGATTTCAAGGTTTGCCATTCCTGATTTAACGAAGCCCAGATGAGTTTGGGAAGGGGAGGGTCTGTATTAAATCTCTTCACTTTCTAATAACTTTCCACCAAATTACTCACTTCAAGATAACATTTTAATTAGAAATAATGACAGTGTAAAGACCCTTAATTGCACCATTTACCGTGTGTGAATCAATTATAGTATATCAAAACCATTGCAGGTGGCTGATTAAACTCAAACTTTTATTTCCTTTTTTTTAATCGTCCATCTGTTTAACAGCTTGCACATGGAGCACAGATATTAATGTTGAGGTTGCATGATTTAAATATGGGTAAAGAATAGACAACTTATTCTTATAATTGGGAAACCATTTGTCGATGCCAGTGATTTGAGTCTTCATATTATATAGTGGGTTGACTCTTGTGATTAGACACATTAAATGTTGGTATCACCAGAAGTGAGCATTTATCTAGGACTTGGCTACACCAAAATTCCTAAATTTTTTCTCCTAGTGTACACACTCTTTTAATGTTTCCTTGCTAAAGTTGAGGCAAATAATAACTTTGTGTTGAATACTTATTTGATAGTATTTCATTTCTCTCTTGGTCGCAGATCTTTGTATGTTCCTCTTGTAAACTGAACTTGAAATTTTGTTTAAATTTTGACTTGCCTGCTAGGATCTAGGAATGCGTTTTAAACCTCCAGGAAACCAAACTGGTCTTTTTAAGAGTTAGGGTTTTTGGTGGTGTGGGAATTTTTGTTTTGTCTTTTATAAACCTCTCTCCTCTTAATCCAGATGTTCTATATAATTATCTGGGTTATTAATTTCCCCATTTCCTCAAGAATTTCAGTAAACTGAGTCATGACAGGTTTTGTGTCTACCCTCATGAGCCAGCCTGCTACTGAAACATCGTTTGTTTAAAAAAAAAAAAAATAGTACCATCATTTAAGGTCCTTAAATGTTAAGCCACAGTCAGATATAGAGAAGTCCATTATTGTGTTAGTCTTCAGAACAACTTAAGCTTGTTTCATTAATTGAGAGTATGAGTATAGTTTGTATTAAATTAAAATTTATTGCTTTTCCCCCTTTTCCCTCTCCTTGTTTTTTTGGCCATATATCTCCGTTGCCCATGTACTGGATCGACTTACCCCTGCGTTGCCCACCATGACGTTGGCCCATCCGCCCCTGAACGCCCATGTGAAAACCCTGGTTGGCTATGCC